TGGTATCTTTGTCTCTCGATCCACTGTGTTCTCTTCCCTTGAATTTTTGCTTCTTGGCTTATCTTAAGGAGTTTCTCCTTTTTTTTGTCCTAGAAAGAGTGATGGGATTTCCACGACGATAACCCTAGCTCAGGAAGTCTTTTCATGCCCAGATGGCAATGACGGCCATGATAAAGAAGCCAAAGCCAATGAAGGAGAACTTGACGAGAGGGCTTTCGTGTGAGCGCAGTTCGTAGGGCAGGATCTCCAGGAAAGTGACGTAAAGGAAGGTCCCGGCCGCCACCCCTTCCAGCACCGCCTGGGCCAGGCCGCTTCCATCGCTGTCGGAGAGGGACACCCCAATGCCGATAGCGATCCCGACTGGGGACATGAGGGCAAAGACCACCAGGTACAGAAGCCTCCACCGGGGCTCGGTGCCGCTCTGCACCAGCTTCAGGGCCAGGCTGAAGGCCACAATGGCCTTGTGGATCAGCACGGCCAGGCAGAGCTGAATGGCACCCGTGTCCTCCTTCTGCACGCCGATGGCCAGGCCTTCGAAGATGGAGTGGAAGGAGAGCGAGAGGAAGAGCACGAATGCCCGGAAGGAGCTGTGTGACTCGGGCATGCCCTTAGGGTCATCGTGGGCTTCGGGGTCGCCGTGCGAATGGACGGCCCGAGGGCAGCAGGACAGTACCACGCTCTCAATGAAAAACACCAGGAAGAAGCCGAAAGAGATGATGAGTTCTCCGAATGGGTATCCCTGCCGTGAAGGGTGACAAGGGGGGTGGGTGGGTTTGGAAATACAGTAAGATGTACGGCTATTGTTGTGTTCCACACTCACTAGTCCAGCCCCTGGGTCTCAAGATCAAAATATCTGCCTCCAACCACTCCCCCCACTCCTTTTAATTCAGAAAACAGCCTCTGCCTACCCAGCGGTCTTTGGAGAGGTGTTTCTCATATGACAACATCTCACAGCAAGTAGCCTTAAGAACTACCTGTGCTTCAGAACCTGTTTATGATCTATGCACATGCTTATAAGAACTTCAAGGGCTCTAATCATTTATCTATGGGCAATTTAAAGCTAGAGGAGCCATAAATGGACCTGACCCATTGAGAGGCAAGGAGTCCCTTCTACCCAGTCGCTCTCCTTCATCTGGACACAGATCTTTGGGCAAGGGGCTGTTAATCCAATCTAGTGGCTACTGTGGCTTACCCCCCACCATTAAAAAATCTGAGCCAGAGATGTCAAAGGACGGGGCACTCACCTCAGAATCATCATCTTCAGAAGTAGTATTCTGTTTCAGGACAAGAGCTCCCTGTTTATAAAAACAGCACAGAAGGATACATTTTAGGA